TAAGTTGTCTCCGAATGGAGATAATGGCCTATAACAACAAATATGTCGGTGGTTCGTAGGCTTTATGGTAGCCTAAGGCGAATAGCGCCTTCTGTAGTGTGTTATACAGAACATATGAACAGGCGACCTGCACTCGTAGGTGCTGTGGTAGAATGCTAACGATAATAGGCGTGGCAGAATTACATAACAGACTATCACAGCAGGTCATGCTTATGGCTGACCCGTACGGTACTTCGGTGAGATTAGAGTTACGGTTGTTAAGAAGGTGCCGACAATAGCGGCACACTCCGGCCATCGGGAAAATTGTGAACAGCGAAATGAATTACAAGCCCAACATGCATTTGTCAATGAGACTTATATCGCAGAAATTCACGAGTTTTACGCTAATCAAGCAATACGAGGCATACGCACAAAAGAAGGTGCCGTATATCGGCACACTCCGGCCGGGCACGAAAATGGAAGCAAAGGGACAGAAGAAGACGAATGAGTGATCTACTTCCTCGTGGCGCTTTTTCCATCTGTCGGGATCAGCAGTGGTCTTTGCCGTAGTGGACCGCAGGTGATTGTCAAGCAGAGAGCACGACCGGTGATGCCGCATTGATAGAGCAATAGAGAGGTAGACAGCTGTAAAATATGGATATGACGCTTTTTTTGTAAATCCATCTCTAGCGGCGAGTGGTATACAGAATCTGAAGTACTGCTGCTTCGTTTGTAGTCGTTCTGCTCCTTGCATCGAGGATGCTGCTTTGCACAGAGAGGTTCAATTACATCGCTGCACTCGTTTGCCTGTGGCAATCTCGGTGTCATGACCTCCATCATCGGACACTCACTTGCAGTACTTAGTAGCGTGCTATCGATTTCTTAGCTAGAAATCCTCTTGTTATCTACATGTTCACCTTTTTCGTTGTTGTTCTCGTTAAAGATTTTGGGAATTTTATTTCTCGGTCCTTTGAGTGTAACGTCCAGATCTGCAGACTTCGTCATTGGCATTGGTTTTGATGGTGATTTGCTGCCGTTGTTATTCTCATCCTTTAGTTTGAACAGGGTTTCTCCGTTTGAATTTTTCATGCCATTCATGAGCCTTGATGTGGGAAAATTCCTTCCGCTCCCTGCTAACTCTTGCAAATCATCTGCCATACTATCTTGCAAGAGATATAGAAACCTTCTAGCGTCAAAAATGGTTTCAAATAATCTTATCTCTTCTTCCAACGCGTCCCAATCCTCCTCCATCATTTTCTTTGCCGCTTTTGATTTGGCGTCTTTGTGTAGTTCCTTCAATATATCAAAGTCCATTTGTAGCGATTCGATGCGATTTTCGATATCCGTTTTGCATCTCGCTAATGTATCCAGATGGTCATGGCATAGATCTTGGCGCATTTGATCATCATCTGGAAGCATAATTTTCTTACCGTGGCACGCGTACTTCTGCAATAGTTCTGCGAGTTCCATGGTAGACGTTCTGAATACATCTGTGAGGAAAGGCGAAATCCTCGTTGTTGCTGTTGTGCTGCTCTTGAGCAAGCACACATCGGTGTCTTATTTGGCCGATGCACCAAAATATGTCGGCGGTTCCTAGGCTTTATAGTAGCCTAAGGCAAATAGCGCCTTCTGTAGTGTGTTATACAGAACATATGAACAGGCGACCTGCACTCGTAGGTGCTGTGGTAGAATGCTAACGATAATAGGCGTGGTAGAGTTACATAACGGACTATCACAGCAGGTCATGCTTATGGCTGACCCGTACGGTACTTCGGTGAGATTAGAGTTACGGTTGTTAAGAAGGTGCCGACAATAGCGGCACAACGAAAGTGCTATCGAGCCACGCGCAGATTCTATCAAGCTCCGCTCAATCAAATACTGAAAGCCGTTGGCGGTTTTTTTTTTCGAGGATCTTGCACATTATGAAATAACTGTTATCAGGGCCATCGAAAGGAGCCAAAATGAATAAACATGGGAGGCCAAATTTTGGGTGGACGCTGCCTTTAATGTAGATTATAGGATTATAGGAACGTGATTCTGAAGTTGAAAACGCAAGCCTTAGCCTTCAGCTAAGCGCTGCAGCCGTTTTTTACATAATTCGAGAATACAATAGGCACCAAAGGATCCGCACTATCGTTTTAATTCTTAGCTTTACGGATAATGTAAAATGGAGTGCGAAAGTGTATCTATCTTTAGGGTGATTGGTCAAAGTGGCCTTTTGGAATGAGCTGTATACCAAGGCTAAGTAGATACTGATGCGAAAGTTCCGAAACACTTCCAGCACAGTTCCCGCACTGTTTTTTTTTCGCGTAGACCAGAGTATTGTGGGAACATTATGTGAATAATGTGATAAGTTCTTTTCCAAGAATTTCCTCATAAAAAGTGGAAAATGACTCGTTTGCAAGGCAGAGGCAACCATATAGGTCCAAACTCTATATGTACAAGCCAGTGGCGTACCGAGGGGGGGGGGGGGGCGTTTGAAAGTTACTTAAATGTGTTATAAAAATGTGCAGAGGACTTGTTTTTACTTGTAAATAATTAAAATAATTTTCAAAAATTCAAATCAGCCTTGTAAAAAAAATTTTTCGGGGCGTGGCTGCCACCACGCCCCCTTTTTCTGAAATTTCGGGGTCAGGGGCCGGAAAAAATTTTGGGAAACATCCCAAAAAATTTTTCGGAGTGCGTGGCTGACGCCACGCACCTTCATTTAAAAAAAATTTTTGTCGCGTCCCCCCCCCCCCGAGCCGAAATCCTGGGTACGCCACTGGTACAAGCGTATTGAGAGCAAGATCGAAGTCCGAAATTAACGGTTGTCCTCATAAATTTTTCAACTTCAAGTTCCGCAGTAAGGCTGGCAAAGGTGTGGAAACGTTTTAGTTGAAAGAAGTATAGTTGTAACGAACAAAAATTTTCGCCGAATGAACGAATATCGAATAATCAATTTTTAAAATTTTTTCGAACGAATGAATGTCGAATATTTGATTTTCGAAAATTTTTCGAATGAACGAATATTATTCGACTTTCGATTTTCATTTTATTCGAATTTGAATATTCGAATATTGGCACATTCCAGAATTCGAATGAACGAATACTTGATTAACCGAACTTGATCGAATATTCGATCGATTTCGAATAAATGTTCGAATATTATTCGAATATTTAAATGCAGTATTCGAATATTCGAATATTCGAATAACTATCTTTTAAAACTACTGAATGAATGAATATTCGAATAACCTTTATTTAAAACTCGTCGAATGAACGAATATTCGAATAAGTCAATTTTCGAAATCGTCGAATGAACGAATTATTCGAATATAGGCCTTTCTCATTTATTCGACTATTCGAATAATCGAATAAATGGACTTTTTCAAATATTCGACTATTCGAATATTCGAATAGTCGAATATTTCGAATAAATTATTCGAACACGAATATTCGGTGCTAACTATAGAAAGAAGCAAGGAAGGTATCGTAAATATACGATCGTATTGCACATATGCTTTTACAGGTTGTCAAGGAACGAATTGCACAAACGCGATCTCCAAATTTAATGCACTTATTAGTAAACAACTGATTTACAACGCACACGCAACGATACTTGTAGATGAAGGTTATGACAAGCTTTTTTTTAACTTTTACTTTAGTGAAAAGTGAGAAATGACTCACTCGCGGCCACAGGTCATATGGCTCCAAATTCGGTTGTATATTCGTACTGGGGACAACAACAAAGCATGAAATAAATAAAAAACTTATGTGAATGAGGAATGTGCTTAACCATTTTCCAGATTAAGGTAACATTTTCCGCTTTTTTCTCTTTGTTAGGGTAGGAATTATGACGCCGCTCGCGCCTTCAATTGAACTACCGACGCAACTGGCGCGATCAAGTGAGAAATCCTAAATCGAAAGTGGGAAAGGTGAACGCGTTGAACTGTCCATTTTCCAACCTCGTACCTGGCCCAGGTATAAATCTCATTCTTGACCGCAATAGATAATGTTGAGTAGAGCCAGCTTTTTGAAATGCGAGCCTTCAGGAACTGCCCTTATATCCATAGCATAGCATCCATCATATCGGTTGGAACCTCTTCAATCAATGTTAGAGCAAAGAACAAATTCCAAAGTTAAAGTAAAAAGCCTCAAGTGTCACAAAACCTATGTCACACTGATATTTTCCACTTCCAAAGAGATTAATCAAGCCTTAGAGGCAATGTTTACCCAAATTAGACATTGACGATATTATGATGGCATAGTGTGCCCCCCCCCCACACACACAAGGCAAACCCCCAATTTGCGCCGCAAAAGACTGCTTCCGGAACGAGAAATCCGCTCAGAGAGAAGCAAATCTGGAGATGGTCACTTCAACCAGCTGTCGCCTGCACACTTCGCAGGCTTTCCCCTCACCTCCACTTGTTGCGGCGGATTCTCCGAAACGGACTTGGAGGCTTCGCGGATTCTCGACTCCATATTCGAAATCAGGGCCTGAAAGTGACAAAAACATGGAAGCGAGAATTCGGGTAGACGGTGCCTTTGTTTAGCTTTTGATAAGTTGACTGTCACTGCAAATGAGTATAAATGTTTATTAAATTAGCAATTTGACCAGATCAACAGATAAAATATGTAACAAACAGAAAACTTTAAAAAATCAACAATGATAGAAGTACTAGTGATGTAAAAAAAGTAAATTATCTTGAAAAGATGTATCCGCTGTTTGATCAGATGATAACTCTTTTGGTTTATGCTTTCCACGTTTAGATTGTGAAATGTTGCCTGAAGAAATTACAAAACTCTTCAAACCAATTCAACAGATCCAGATGCCAATTTTGTATGGAACTGAAATTGACTGGAAAATTAAACAAAAATTCTGACGCTTACCGAAAATGCTGTGGCAGTGTTTCTGAATTTTGACTCGAATAAATTTTTGCAAAATTTGCAAGAAAACACTAAGACACTGTGAGGCGTTTGTATTCGACAACTTACATTGAAGTTTTCATGCAATTGAATTTTCACCATTTTCACCATACAGCCGTATCAAAAAACGCACAAAATATATTTCTATGGTTATAGCAGGTATAGTGAGTTCGCTTTTGAGTTTGATTTCTCTATACACTAGTCACGGTATCCGCAGAAAACAACCATTAAAGAGTTTTCAGCTAACAAACAGTTGGCACTTTTTTGACACCCCTTGTATTAAAAAACTGTTAAGACTGCAAACTCTAGAAATCAGCAAACATCAGTCCGATAAACACCCTTGAAAAGGTTTTTGATCCGATCCGACCTATGAATCAAGTGACGGTAAGAAGTTTAGTGATGCAACGGCAACTTCCTCTATTTCCGGGAAAGAAGATTTGATTTCAGCAACCTTAGACGGATGAACTGTGATTGCTCGAGCATATTTCTGAACAGTAATTTCTTTTCTGACCAAACATTTCAAAGGTGATCAAAGATGAGAAGAGGTAGAGAGGACTTTGTGTGTTTACCTCAAAGAGATTCGCCACTCTTGGGCCACCTAAACTGACCATATCTTCGACAGTGGTATTCCACACCCGTTGGCAAAGTTGTCTAGGTAAATAAAGTAAATCATCCGCTGAAAAAACGAGTGCTATAAGCTCACTTTCTGTAGTCGCTCGGAGTTCCTCTAATTTGTCCGATTATTGACAGCTTACCAGCTCCGCTGACCTAAAACAAGAATGCTGTCTTCTGCTAAGTAATAGACCTAAGGGTTGCAAAAAAGAAAACTAGCCAAAGTGCAAGATTGATCTTTATCGCTTAGATTGATTACTTCGACATTTTTTTTCTTTTTGTACAGATTCAATGGTGCAAAAACTTTTTTGGTTGTACTATTTACTCTTCGCTCTAAGGCCCGTATGCACGTACATCCCCGCGGGGAAGGGAAGGGATCTGAGAGGGGAAGCGTCATATCTCGCTAGTCTACATATCTTTCTCCTTCTTTCTCTATCTTGCTTTTGAATTTTCTCATACACTAATACCTGCGCATAACGGATGCCAAGCTACTGCCATACAAGATTAGATATTCAGTATTTCTTCTGATCCCCTGGGGATCCCCAGGGGATCACCTCACATTTTCAAAGTCATTTATCTTCCTGAAAACGGAATGAAAACGCTGCAAAACTGTACGGAAGATATACTACGATACTGCTGAACATGTTTTCGACAGAACAAACGGAATCTGAAGATTTTGATTTTTTCGATGATCCCTGGCTCGCGAGCAGCGGTTCACGAAGATTTTGATATCTTGAGATTTCACTCATTTCTACCATAAACATGTTTAGCAGCGCTGTAGTATATCCTCAGTACAATTTTAGAGAATTTGCATTGATTTACAAGAAGATAAATGACTTTGAAAATGTGAAGTGATCCCCTGGGGATCCCCAGGGGATCAGAAGAAATACTGAATATCTAATCTTGTATGGCAGTAACCTGGCATCCGTTATGCGCAGGTATCAGTGTATGAGAACCTTCAAAAGCAAGATAGAGAAAGAAGAAGAAAGATATATAGACTAGCGAGATATGGCACTTCCCCTCTCAGATCCCCTCCCCTCCCCGCGGGGATGTACGTGCATACGGGCCTAAGTGTGATAGCAATCAGCAAACGTGCAAACGCAATCTTCTTTCTTTTCTCTTCTATCTAACAATTTCCTCTTATCATAACCGCTCTGAAAAGGGAAGACTTAAGTTCACCAGATAATCTTAAATACTTTGAAATCAATAGTTTGCTTCCAGGATTACCATGTAGATAGTGAAGTAAAAATACAAAAACCAGGCAAGAACTACGGGTAAAGAATAGACAATGAGAAAAACTCTCCTGCAACTCAGGAAGCCGAGTACTAATTAGGGATACCAATTTTGGGTCTCCGGTGATTCATATGCCTGACTAAGAAAACTGGAAACTTATGAACGTAAAAACCATACCGTCTCTTCTCGCTGCATTAGTTCGCAAATCAGTGACCTCTTCGCAGCCTCAAATTCGGACTCCACTACTTTCCCGCTTTTCAAGACATCATTCTGAAAAGCATACCAATATGTTGTGGTGAGAGAGACTCAGTGAGGTATGTTTCTTACCACAATTTTCTTTGTCCGTTCGTAAGCTTCTACCGGTTGGGCGCATCTATATAAGGAAAGAGTTATTGTTCGGCGTTCAGATTTCACATAGATATTGGCGCCGTAGGCAAGTCCATCGCCGCGAATACCTCTCCAAAGCGGACCTAAACATACGATCTCAGCTTTCAGAGTATTATTGAAAAAAATTACAAAACTGTTGGCTAAATTAGTGAAAAAATTCAGAAATGCTAGTCGGATTAGTGCAAATTGGCATCTAACACTGTTGTAGCTGCCAGTTAGCGACTGGCGTTTAGGTGCCGTCCAATTAGGCGCGGATTTGATCCGGATCTCAACACCGGACCTCAACATCTGAACTGCGCAAATTTTCAGCAAATTAGTGGAGAAGCCAGACTTAGCCCATCACGCGCATTCCAGCGTGCTCGTTGATTCAGAGCGGATCTGGATCTGTTCCGACTTGCGCAACCATGAAACAACACCTATTGCCTTGGCGACGACTGGCAATGATGATTTGTTATACAAGGAGCCTCACCTTCACACTGGCTCAAGTACTGCGTGAACAACATTGTTGGGACCAACTCTTCACTCATCCAGTCGCAATCCATCATGCAAGTTTGATAGATAAAGGAGGATTCGGATCCACCAACACCCAAGACTTTCTGTCGGCCAACAAAGCTCAAGTCTACGGACTCACCGGCTTTGCCCTGCAGAAAAAAATTTCTCTGGTAGATATATGTCTTTACAATAGAAGATCTACGAACCACAAATTTCTCAGCTTTTCCAAAACCATTTTCGACAAAATCCCATTGGTAGTGATTAAAGAGTTTGTCATTGATGAGCTCGACATTGCAAAGAAAATGTGCATTGACACCACGAGAGAATAAGGCAGAGCGGACCTGAAGAGATTTATCAAATGTCACAATAATATTCTCATGAATGCAGAGCGTTATTGAGGTGAATGAAGAGAAAACTCAATCTGAACCCAAACAGATACTCAAGGGGGAAAAGGAGATGTTATTTGTATCCAAAATGCTGGATTAAAATATGCAGTGTTGATAATCACTAACCTCTTCCAACTTCTTCACAACTTCTTCTGGATGAGTTTCGCACCGTTTTGCAATAGTCTCATGGAATTTCTCCAACATAAGTTCATCGTACATATAAGCATTTGTATCTAAAGTGAGATATAGCCCTCTTTTAGCCCTCTAACCATAATCAACTCACTCTGCTGGTTGATCATAGAAACCAAGGCGGTGCTAGCTACGCTACATCCATCTCTCTTCTTCTCGCTTGCATCACTTGCCAATTTTTTGGCGCACTGCCGCACTCTGAGGGGGTCAAACACTATTCCGGTGGTGAAAATCTTCGCCCATTTGGCGAGATTGGGATATCCAGTCTCCGCATCAACCTTGAAGACTCTTATATAAGCAGTCAAAAAGTGCAGAAGTTCGCCCGTTCCGGCACTGGATTTTTAGAATGCACTCGCATTACACATGAACATAAAACGCATTCCAATTGCCCGCATCTAACGAGCAGATGACAAGAATTTTCGTTCAATTCACATTTGTCGTTTCGCGACCTGATATTAGCTCATTTCAAAGGTTTTTTCGGGCTTTCTTTTTGTTCTGAAACCATAAGATGAAGACTGTTGTATTGGGGAAGGGGGAAGCTTTCCAGAAACAGCTCCTGGAGCTGTCGTTTCCAAAAAAAAATCGTTTAATCTGATCGCTCAAAAATTCTCATTTATCAAAGCCACTGCAGTAGGGTAGTAACGCAATAGTACGAGCTGCAAAATATCACACATGAGCTTGGTGACAACATTATAGTCCTTTGGCAGAACTGAAAAAACGTCAAGTATCCCATAACGAAAAGAATATGAGGATACTGGCGAAAAACACTTTGTAAAAGTTTCGCAAAATATTCATTGGAACATTACTGGCAAGCAGCTTCGCTTCATCTAATGGTTATTTATTGACTTTGCAAAGGTGAATATGAAAATGAGAAGAAAATTGAAGAAAGTTGAAGAATTAAATGAAGAGCACACATTGCAAGAAGATTATCTAAATTTACTGAGACTTTGACCAGGGCTTCTGGCTTCGGAGTTAGTCAACAGACAGCGGCGGACCGAGGGGAAGCCCCTCCCCCACCCCTCCATGAGCTCCGACATTAGGCACTTGCATGAGATAAAAAAAATTGTGCAATTGACTTGTTTTTACTTACCAGTAATTGAATTATCTTATATATAAAGCTGAATGTCTGTTTGTATGTCTGTCTGTCTGTCTGTCTGTCTGTCTGTCTGTCTGTCTGTCTGTCTGTCTGTCTGTCTGTCTGTGTGTACGTATGTTCCAAATAGAAAATTCCATTTCTCAACCGATCCGGACCAAACTTGGCACACATACACTTCGGGCCCCGGCGGGTGTCACAGTCCACTTTTCGTTGTCGATCGATGCCGACTTTATCGATTTTTTGCGAAATTTGAGCTAGGGGGCTGGAATTTGGCAGAGGGGTGTAATCGAGCATGCTGATCACCCCCGTGGGGGTGACATCGATCGACAACGAAAAGTGGACTGTGACACCCGCCGGGGCCCGAAGTGTATGTGTGCCAAGTTTGGTCCGGATCGGTTGAGAAATGGAATTTTCTATTTGGAACATACGGCGGAGCCGGGTAAGCCAGCTAGTTTTCCAAATTCCTCAAAATTCAGACCTTTCTGAAAAAAATTACGGAAGGCGTGTTTTGCCGCGCATCCTTTTTCGAAAATTTCGATACGGGCCCGAAAGCATTTTGGGAAGCATCCCAAAAAATTGGAATACTTGGTTGAGACCATGCACTTTTAAAAGTGCATGGCCTTTTTTGAAGATTTTTTTGAAGTCTTTTTTGAAGCTGCAAACTTCTTTGCAAAGACAATTTTGTCCACAACGTATACTTGTCTTGCTGACTTCTGAGCACCTCAGTGCGGTCCACCAGCATGCGCAGAAAGGAAAAAGGTCGTCGCGAAAAGTGGCCTATTTGTGCAGGATTTTCTCAGGCAGGATAACATCTGGAGAGTCCAGATGCTGTAGTTATATAGAGTTCTGCTGAGGCTGTTACGGGAGCCATTTATGTTTTTGAAGGACACCTGCACAAAAATTTTTCCCAGAAGTTTGAAAAATCGACCATTCTTTGCCCCTAAAAATGCACCATTTTTCGACTAACTGGCTTCGGAGTCTTCTAGTTCTGCATAGAAAGGATCAATCTTTGATTACGGCGAATATTGTTGGGGTAATGCCTTACACATCTTTTGGACCCATCGTCCAGGCGTGGCGATCCCTGCGGGAGCCACGCTAGCTGCGAAAAAGTTGCAGTCAGAGGCAAGTTCGACAGCTTGTAATTTCTGAGCACAAATCGCAAAACTCGAGTGCAGTTGCGGGTCAGAAGTTGGCAGGTTCCTCAATCAGATCACTCATGATTTGGACGAAATTCTTTGAACTGCACAGAAAAATGGGCGCAGGAAGAAGAATTGCGAAATTTTTATGATAGGAAAGACTTCCTTTTTTTGATGTGCAGGTCAAATACGTCTTGGCCTCGATAAAAATCAGTAGCGTTATTGCAAACTTCAGGCTTCCCTCTGCTGAACAGTATAAGAAACTTGGTGTCATGGTCCGACCGAGCGCCGAAAAAAGGCGTTTGAAAATGAAGTTTCCAAAAGGCCCGGGAATTTTCTTTACAACCTAATATTTCAAAGCCAATACCCCGTCCACGAAAAAAATTTCTAGGAACGCTACTGTTACCAGAAGGGACACTGCAAAATGCATCTCAGAACTTCTGAGTTTTCGGCAAGCTTCTGCGTCCACATAAAGTTGGTGAAAAATGAAGAAATTTTTAGAGTAGCCCATCACGTCCAATTCTGAATTGCTCGATTTTGCGTTGTATGGGATTGAACACTGAACGTTCCCTTATTGCCTGAGACTGGCGATGCGAATGCGCGTAGTGGAAGAACTGGTCTTGAATGGGGCAAATAACTTAGAAAATGTAAGGAGAACTTACCACTATACGCAGGTCGACCAATTTGTCGAAAAAGCCGGAAATGCCAACCTCGATGGAGTGATCTACGAGGTCCTGTAATAAGCTATCGTAAACGATGAAGTGACTCTTCGAGCTCTTAGTGCTGTTTCGATTCACCTTGGTGTAAAGCTTTGCCACTTCTTCAGCAGTTTTCAATTCCCCATTGATCATCGCTGGCGATTCGAACAAAAGATCATTGTAAAGGAACAGCCAGGCTCTTTGTTCGGCCGTCAATGCGCTCGAATCAAGGAAAAGGAATAATTCAATGAACTTTGTCGGAGAATTATGTACAGTGGTCGGGAATGGGAACTGTTCCAAGAATTTCGCTATAGGCTGTGATGGTGGTGAACCTCCTACGTTGCTCTTTGCATCCACCGGAAATCGATCAAAAGCTTCGAGTTTTTTGACGATCAGTTCTTGCAGTAGTTTAGCATCTGGCTTTCGCTCGGTGTTTTCCTTTATGGCGCAGCAGATGTTTTCGTCACATTTTTTGATGCCATCTTCGCCGAGTTTCCGCCGCTGCTGCTCTATTCGTGCTTTCTCTTCATTTGCCACCTGCTCCACCATTTTCTCGCTTGGTATTCCGATGACAGCTACGTGGGGACTGGTGAAATATTTTTTCACGAGACCCGACCAAAATGAGGCAGGTTCAGATCGCAGACGGCGAATAAGCTCCAGCTGCAAAGTGTCAGTAAGCACTTGGTATAAGAAAGGTCGACCTAACGATAACTTACCTCATTAAGTCGTGTCTTCAGATCTTCCTCAGTCTTGTCGTATAGCTGGTGTCCAATCATATGACCAAACAGCTCCATATCTGGGTGTTTCTCCATCTGAACAGGAGGATTCAAAAATGCTTTCTTAGCAAGAGTCATATATTCACCTTTTGCAATTCATTCTTGACTGTTTGTCCTATGAGGAATCCCATTCTTTCCATGTCCCAAGCACTATCTTCTAAATGATCTTTCACCACTTTGTCCATGAATCTAAATGACTAAAGTGAAGGATTTGCATTTTTAGCGCGCGAAAACTAAAAATAAACTTCTTTTTCACGTCATCGAGACGATCCGTCGGCACTCCACCAAAAATCAACGCAATTAGGCAAATGCTCTGAAAATAAATGATGGCACCGTTCATACAAAACCGAGGTTAATGAAATTTTGATGCAGTATAGTAAGGGAGCCCCCCAATCAAATGCTCTAGTCACGCTGCAAAAAGTAGGTTCCAAGCGAGAAAATCGCGCTCAAAGGTGGATGCTGCCAAGGTAGCCACGCCCATCAACGTGAGTGGTCGAAGCAATGGGCCCGAAAGTGGATCCCAGTATGAACTGTCAAAAACCTGGCTATCATACTGAAAAGGACAGTTTCGACATCCCTAGGCCTTATTGAGTCATTTTCGTGCTCACCATCTTTAGGTCATCAACACTGAAGGGCTGACGAACCAGTGGCATCCATCTTTTGAAGGCATAGTTTACCCAAATTATCGGCTTTCACGTTTTCGTCATTCCAAGCCTCCGTCCATGATTCCGAATATAAAGTTGAGAATCCGCAAAAAACCCCGACAATAATCCGCGAAAACCCCGATATCCGTGAGCACTCAATCAATCACGTTCCGGAGAACCCGCAGGGTAAGTTTTCCGGAACGGTGATTGGTTGAGTGCTCACGGATGAGCGGGACGAACGGACGTGCGCACCGAACGCCCACACGAGAGGAGCCAACGTAGCGAATCCGTGAAGCGATTTGTGTAGATTTCCTCGCTCCGGAAGCAACTTTTGGCAGCGCGTTTGGACAAGTTTACAGTTGGGGTTCTCGCAACGTTAGATATCGAAACCTGATCGACTCCATTTTGAATGGACGGTGCCTTCAAAGCGATTTTCTCACTTCGGAGGACACCTTTTGCAGCGAGAATTGGGCAATGAAAGGCAGCGTCCAGGCAAATCTGGACATACGGGCTTTTAATGCGGAAAGTAACTTTGGGGTCCTAACTAAGACACTGCCCAGGCGGCAGCTCAAATGGTGAATTCACAATTTAGATATTCGCCTCCAAACTGGACTCAGATTTGCCTGGACACTGCCTTTAATTAGGTGCCTCGTTTGCACTGCCTCAAAGTCTCACCAGCCGCAATTTTGGGTAGACGATGCCTCTGTTTTCAAAATTATTTCCACTTTCACAGCCCTTCCCCAACTAGTTAAACTTTTTAAATACTCACTTGCTCAGATACGTGAAAATCTACTTGACTAGCTAAAGGCTTCTCTGTGAGCACAAACTCCCGTTGCAGCGGGGATATGGGAGTATTTGACAAGTAATCGAAGAGCACATCACATGCGACCTTTTCTTTGAAATTTGTGGGTTCGTAGCCAAACCTACAACGGGAACAGTACACTTACAGCTGAACTGTCAGAAGCGAAACCTTACCAACTAATCTCCACGCTTCCCCTTGATTCATCATCACTGGGGCACGTCACATGTTGTTCGCTCGACTCTGCGGGCGGTTTCAAGCTGAACGATGTGAACGGCCGATCAAATGACGTTGGAATTTGAGACAGATGCTCCTGAAGTGATATGGTAACAGCACAGAATTGTTGAGCTTGATTCGATACCTCTTCTGTATTTCCAACAATCTGCAGTAACCTTTCATGATCAACACGACCAGAAACGGTCACCACCATATTCGAAAGATGATAAAATTTCTTGTGGAATTCACGAACCTATAAAAAGCAATAGAGTTTGAGTAACCGGGGTAAGACGATTATACCAACTTACTCGATCAGCATTACAAGTTTCCCGCAGATTTTTTAGCCGTCCACCTGTGTCAACGCGATAAGAATTATTTGGCGGATACAGTATCTCCTTCTTTTTCCTGAAAATGGTCACACACTCATATTACAATGTGAGTTCTACTCAGTGATGTTAGGAATAATCCACCTATCCATGATACTAGACATCTCGGATTCATGGTCCTGCATTTCACTGTAGACTACGCCTGCGTCTTCACCCTTCCCATTGATATGATGCACTTCTGTAGCAAATTGAGCATCCTCAAAGAAATGAATTAACATCCTCCAAAGCAAAAAAAAATGAGCGAGAAATTTAATGAGCACTGCAGCCCAATCTGGTTAGCAGCTTACCGAAAGCATAGGCGAAAGAAGATGGTTGAGGTAGACTGGTAGCACTTTGAAAAAGCCTTCACTGCCTACCTAGATACTCTAAACCTTCAAAACTATAACAGTTCATGCTTAAACGCATACTGTGGTCAACGTGTAGGCTGTATGGTCCTGGTCAGTCCAAGCGTTCGTTCCACTAGCTAAGCAGCGATTAGCAATGATGTCTAGGACCCCTTTGAATGGATACTTTCTGCTGCCCATGAATACCAGGTGCTCAAGTGTGTGTGGTAACCCATCGTCGGAATCCGTTTCCGTTACTAAATGTAAAAAAATGAGCGATCTGTAAAAAAATTGAGCGATATTGAGCTCAAAAAAAGAAAAAAAATCATGTTTTCTCATGCACCGTCCACCCAAATTTGAGATTGGTCACATTTTGATAGAGTACAATAGTAAGGTCTCTAAATGAGTGACTGCCCCAGTCGCGGTGCAATAGGTTCATACAAAGCGAGAAAATCGGTCCAGAAGGTAGATGCTGCTGAGGTCGGGACGTCCATCTACGCGGTGGTTTCGGAGTGACTCTGGACTCCAGAAAAGCTGTGCCCGCATTCATCTACGAATCCTAAGAGTAAACCTTCTCCTCAAGGGTAGGTTCTACCCTCTGGGTTCATTGGCCGTATACATCAACGAAAGGGTAGGGTTTACCCCGAAAAACGATAAACCCGTATCGACCAAGAACCTTGAGGGTAAACCCAGAAAGCCAGAGAGCGGTTAACCTGTATCCACGAACGGGCTCATCAGGGTAAATTTAATCCCACCATGGAGCAAGATTAGATTCACTCTGACAATTCGTATAAGCATCAAGTGATCTCTCGATGCACTACTCTGTCCTAGCAATACTGTTTTGACAATGAACACATTTATGGTTTGATGCACCGGTATATATTCGGTCGAGTCTTTATAGTAGAAGATGTAGAATATGGCGACCATCAAGCTCAACAACTCGAAAAATTTTTGTAATATGGAACTCCCTCCTTCAAATTTTAGTCCAACAATGTACTTGTTCATTAAATGATTTGATACCTGATCAAACTATCGTAGCTCTACTAGATATATTCAAACTGACCAACAAAATACTAAAAATCTGTCGTTTTTGTAATATGATTAGAGAGAGGAAAAGAGGACCTAGGAAATTTGAAATGAAAGTAATTAGAAATATGGGTTTGTTGTCAGAACAGTGTCGCTGAGACTGAGTAATGCATCGCGAAATCACTTTAAGTTTGTACGAAGTGTCATGGTAAATTTAACCTTGCTATGTGTTAGGGTTAAAATTACCTTGATGAACCACGTTCGTGAGTATGGATTGATCGCATTCTGGAGTAAAAATTACCCTCAAAATCGTTGAAGATTCAACCCTTGAGGTTAAGCCAATCCTTGCTTTGTGGATACAAGTTTTATGCTTTTTGAGATATCTGAATTTTACTCTTAAAGGCAGCGTCCAGGCAGATCTGGACTTATGGGGTTTTTACGTGGAAAGTACTTTTTGGGCCCTAACTAAGGCACTGCCCAAGCGGCAGCTCAGGTAGTGCTCCAATGGCTGAGATATTCCCCTCGAAAGTGGACCCCGCGACCGTGTTTCGCATAGATTCATGGCGCAAAGCGTGGATCCTGGCGCGAAACTGCCATGAATCCATGCGAATACGTTCGCGGGGGCCAGTTTCGAGGGGAATATCTCAGCCATTGGAGCACTACCTGAGCTGCCACTTGGGCAGTGCCTTAGTTAGGGCCCCAAAAGTACTTTCCATGTAAAAGCCCCATAAGTCCAGATCCGCCTGGACGCTGCCTTTAAAGGCAGTGTCCCGGCAGATTCGGGTCCTGGGGGATATACGTGTGGTGGGGTTCGTGGTCACCCCATCGACCTCCAGGCGCACTCCGGCTGGGTGATGTTCCCTCTGGGCCGAGAAAATGGCCCTTGAACCGGCGCGCGCAACCCCAACTGGCTCGCGCTTGGACGGCCTTCCCGGCCTGTTCGGCGCGGGACCCCACGAGCGCTCTACCCATGATGCATGCTATCCAAAGCAAGAATTACAGGCGGCAGGATCTTCGTCTAAGGACCTCCCGCAACTTTCCATCAAAAATCTCGTCCAAGCTGCTCTTTTGGAATTACGAAAACGCCCCAAAATCGGCCTTTTCAGCCCGTTCAAAGCTCAAATTCGGATTCTACGTGGCGAAAAGGCCTAAAACATGCAAAAAGGTGGAGGTGCAAAATCTGCCGGGACACTGCCTTTAAGGGTAGGGTTTACACTCAGGGTTCGTTAATGAGTAGGGCCACTAATTGTCGAGTGTTTTCCACAAAATGGCGGATTTCCGACATTTATAGATACTAGTGAGTCTACTTACGAGCTAATACATGCAGATTACGTGGTGGACTAGCGACCCCAGAAGCATCTTTTGGAGAGTTTTTCTCGTTTCGGAATACGATTTTTGCAATGGGAGTTGGAGAATTACTTACAAAGTCATTTCGTATGATCATGTGTGCCATAGCACGCACTGTCTAGCTCTGGCGTCCCCATCCTGCATTCTGGAGCAGAATCCCCCTTCAGATAAGTGTTGTGCCTTCCTTATTAGGTCCTAATCTCCACAAAGCGATAACAATCGGTCAGTTTCATGCATTTCTGCGATTGAAAATTCAGAAGGGCCGAAGATGGACGTTATGCGCAATACACACTTGTCATACCATATGAAATGACTCAACTATAGTTGGCTCGCCAATGAACGCATGCCCCGTATTTGGGTGGACGGTGGCTCCAAACGACAATCACGATAAGTGGACAAAAAACTCACCAAAAGATATGCAACCCTTCACCATGGGACCTGGTACATCACCGATAGCCACTACTAGACGACTTCTAGTCGATCGGTACAACGAGATACCGATTGTCCCGTTCATAAGTACCTCTGACTTGGTCCATAGGCGCGACATCATCTAGGAGCAGAATATTGTGGGAAGGACAAGGTGACCGGCGAAAAGACGTTTCAATATCGAGATTGTAAGGTGAACGATCAAAAAGGCGAAACATGGCGAACAATGGGAACGTGTTTCTTGACAACAAGGCTATTAGTCATACACGACGCAATCGCATCACAATTATTGTTAAAGGTGAGAATAGGGATGGAAATGGATTCTTTGGCAATACAGCACTTTGCGAAAAGTATCTAGAGTTCAGTATAAGATTTTTGTTCTACATCTCACAAAGTATAAACAAAAATCAAAGATAACAAGAACTTCGTATGAAAATTTGAGCTAATTTCTTGCAATAAGTTCGCTCTGATTCTCTGTACCGAAGGCCTTGGGAGTGGGATGAAAAAAGTGATTTCAGACTCTGATGGCTAGTTGCTTTGCCCGCGCCGCCGCACAAACAGGCCATTTCTACTAGACAAAAGTTGAACCCCACTGAGATAAAGACCTTATCTGCTGTCTCCCGCTTTTTTGATACCCGTGAGCATAGCAGGTCATTCATTCCGTATCTTGCGATTCATAGAATACCAGTGCTACCTGTCCACCGCCCTTTTCTATTAACATTGCTAACTGCAACCCTTCCCAACGCTGTTACCAGTACTCCGATTGAAATGATGGGCCTCGCTCCTTAATTTAGTAAAGGGGAGAGCAAAATAATACTTATCGGAGGAATCTCAAACAGGAATATATGAGGCTGTAAGCCCTAATTGCTTAGCGCATAACAGCAGTAATAACTCTAGAAACGGTTGGTGAATATTGGTGACAATGGTAACGGCGATAACACTGGTAACACCGATAACAACGGCAATGGATGACTGATTCTTTGCCCAAAATGATCATCTACAAAATGGTTCGTGATTCTAAAATTCCAAACCTTACATTTTTCTTAAGTAACCGCACTTTGAAGAGAGCATAAGCTACATACAAGAACTCGATACATTCAGTTTTCAACGTAAAACTCCTAACAGCTAGATACACACATCAGAAATGGGAAAACATTAACCCAAATTATGCTAAACCCCTACATAGGCGATGCATGACAACGATTTATTAATGCTGACCTTGCGAAGGGATATGGAATATCACAAAGTTTATGACTTGTCCTAAATTCAAATTGGAAACTAAAATTCGACAAGTGATATCATTCTAGTTAGAGGTAAATAAACGTGATAGCAAAGTGCGGCAAAGCGAAAGCACCAACAATAACGCAAGTGGCTCAAAAATATAAATACAGTTATATAAGAAGTAATCTCAACAATAAAAGGCAAAAGTATCGTAAAAGCATTGCGAAGAGCAGGTGGATAAGTGATAAGCGATTGCAGTAAGTGAGTTACAATGATTTGACTAGTTGAGCCACTTTAGAGTAAGCTTCTTTGTTCCCATGAGACTTCATGAAGACGTGTTGTAGCATATCACGATCATGCCGGTCGAAAGCCATCTTCGCAGCTCCGACGTAATTCCTGAATGGAAACTAGTACTTCTTATTGGCTAGCTCCAAGCATTACAGCAGATTACCCCATAGCCATGTAGGCAGCAATCAGATCTTGGTAACCATGAACTTTTGCAAAATACTTCTTGCACTCGTCTTGACGGTGGTACTTCATGCATGCTTTGATGAATGGCTATAAAACTTGAAACACTTTTCCTAATCAGTAGTTTACAACAGATACAAAATGAATCAAAGGATAAACCATATCAGGTAGGAGAAAAAACCAAAAACTGACTAAAAGTGCATTCTACATGTTTACAATTACTTACCACATAACCGACAGGTGACTTCTTTTGAGCCATATCGAACAGCTGCTCCATTTTACCTTTCTTCGCTAGTCCTTCTATAGTCCACAACCAAACCCTAAACATGGGCGAAGCATGAGAATTGTCGCATCAAATCAAAAATAACGAGATGAAGAGAATACAAGCAAAACATCTACTCACTGCTTATCGGTGAGCTTAGCTTGATGCTTGAACTGAGCAACTTTCTGCGCATCATCAGCGTGCTCGACAACTGTATCTCGTATGGTCATATGATCTTCTCCTCTTTCTGACTGCCCAGGTGCAAAGGCAGCCTAGAACATGGATAAGAGAGAGATAAAAGATAAAAGAGACCACGAACCATATCACTGAGTAGTTCCTCTATGCCTTTATCACCCAAATTTTTTGCTGCTTCCTTGGCTCTCCGCAAGCAATTCAGACGCTCACCCGGCTGAAACAATTCTGATGTTGTGTAAACGATTATCCCCCTTCCATAAAAAAACATGTGACTCACGTTTATTTCCTTTTCTACAGCATCCAAGTGGAACATGGTTTGCCGCTCGAAGTCGCTTGCTTGTTCTAATAGTGCGAGCATCATCTTGCCCGAACCACGATCACTTTCTTCCCGTACGAGATCTTGATATAAGCACTGAGCCTGCACTAATAAACAAGTTAGTAAGTTTTCATGCAAATATATACAACAGACGAAATCTCACCAGCGGGATTTTGCGGATGGCCAGCTCGTAATCTGCACGTTTCTGTTCTTTCATGAGGTGACGGACGACCTGATGCATGAGTTGAGGACGTTGTGCAGCTGCAGCTCTTGCAAGAGCTTCTTGTATATCTCCCAATTCAAGCAACACATTGACCTGGAATGTTAGGCGACTATGGTTGCTCAATTGATTTCTTCTTGAAATGAATGCAGCGACCATCCAAAAAACGCATGAACCGATTATATGTTAATCTTTGAGCGTAAAAGTCTAAAAAGGAACATCATGCAATAATCCTCTCAGGAGAGTCCTGTGGTCCCACCAATCACCATTGATTCAGATGTAACTTACTCTTTCTGGCAAACATTCCTTCAGTAAAAGGAAATAAAACTGAACTCTTTCAAGCAGAGAAGTATTCTAGGTAGCTATTATCACACGACTTCGCTGGTGTTTTCGATCATCTGGCAGATGAAGATCATATTTTTAGCTGATATACCTGTTTTGAATCATCTTTTTCACGCTTGATTAGTAGACGTGCTAGTTTGGGAAGCTTTGCGTCAATGGCTCGTTTCGCAGCATCTGAAACTAAGGCGGTTCGCCACGTAGTACACAATGCTTATATTATATATACCATACAGTTTACTGTATTTCACAATTTTGAGTGTGTCATAAAGAGGGAAAAAAGAGAAGGAGCAAGAACTGACCTGCTACTGAAACATGGGGATAGTTCAGCAGTTTTCTTGCAATTTTCTCCTCTAGTGATTCCATGTCCAGTTCTGACTTGTTCGGCAAAGATGCTGCTTCGTTGATTGTACGACGCACCTCAAGATTAAATGCTCCAGATTCAGCACGAAAGGATTAGAGAAAGGCCATATAACACGTTTGCGGATTAAGTGAACATGAAACGCGACACACCCATTCCAACAAAACTCGATCAATGCCTTCTTGTTCGTCTCTGCGGAGCCATTTGCATATTTCTGCTGCTGTGCCATAGGCACCAATATCAATGAGGCGATTGATCAGACAGGATTCGCCCAGCTCATGTAATCTGAACAACAAAAAAGTATATAGCGATATGCACAATCATGGCAAAACTTTGATCCACCAAAAAATCGGGAAAGAAAAAAATTACATAAGAAAACCGACTGAGCACATGTAATCGGCATGCCTATTCGATTACGACGCACCTCGTTGAGGACTCGTAACTCACGCATTACCCGTACAAAGCGTGAGGAATCAAAACCAGTCGAGAATGCTACACCAAAATGTGCAGCCTGGAAAAACCCTTTCAAAGAATGCCGAAGATTAATATGAAAAAAACCTTAAGAAGGGCTTTCTGCATATCCGATGACCATACTGACATAGCTGTAGATATGCATTGATCAATAGCCAACGATAAATCACGAATCTGGAATCTTCTGCATTCAGATATTACGTGTGGATGTTTACTTGAGTACACTGAATACAAAGAAACTGAAAGAAAAAGAAGATTTACCTGCATGATATACTCATACGACTGATGACTCTTATTGGTGTTGAGCCATTGAGCTGCTTCATACAATAAAGCACCGTCCGAGGCTGACGCCACTCCAAGCACTGCTTTTTCGTCGTCTTAACATACAGACTACTGAAAAACATGTAAACTGATACAAAACAACATACGTGACACTGGACTGACAAACTCCATTCCTGTATCTGAGTAAAGTTTGACTCCATCAGGTTCCACGCCAATTTGAACAAACTCTGTATGCAAGCTAAAGATAAGAGTACTGAGAATGAGGCTGAAAAGTGAAACATTTGTGACTAACCCATAATGAGCATTTTCATCATGGACATTGAAAAATTGCACTATCAAAGGGGTTCGTTGTAGGAAGAGTGCATCTATGCCTACCCAACCGAAACGATATATAGCATCTTCGCCAGGAACTTGGATACGCGATATTTGCCTGGTCAGATCTGCAGCAACAACCTGCAAATATTGAATAGTCAACACTGTGCACTCTTGCGAAGAGCTTAAAGAAATTATAGAAAGCTGTCAATAAACAAAAAAACAACAAGACAGCTTTACTGAATCTGAGTGCTTGAGATAGAAAGGGAAACTTGCAGCACCTGAATCAAACGGGACGAATGATAGAGAGCTATCATTGAGTGGTCCCAGCTAACAGCCATTCGCGCATATTGTCCATCTGATTCGGCAAATGGAGTATCCTATGCATAAAAGGTTCGAAGATACGATGGAAAGCGTTTATACTTACCATAATGCTCAACTGTTCTCCTTGACATCCTGTGTAGAAAGTCGTGCCGTGAGCAACAATCACTTGAGTCAGTTGTGATTTCGGCTGTAAAACTGTCCACGCACTTGGGTGTTCTCTGCTGGCTGGAAAAGAGATATTTTTTTGCAAAAAAAACAGTCAGCGAATATGACCGGTGAGGATATTTTCATGAAGTCATTTGCACGCGCTTAGGTAGGATTGATTTGTGTATACTCCCAGGTGTATCTATGTACCCTTAAATTCAACGAGATTGGGGGGAAGGTCCGCTCGCACCCGCGCCAGTCTGCGACTCTCTCGCGAGCGCGCTCTCTGATCATTCTCTAGCCTTGATAGGGCTTCGAAGCCCCACCTTCCAGCGCCAAAACCACTGAATCAAAGGTACTCATGTATGTATCGTATATCCATACTTCATGCGTTAAGGGCGTGATATCACGCTATTTATCGCCTTGTAATTCTCTCGAGGACTGTTATCAGTCCATTGCATGCCGATCATTTACATTTCGGTTGTGTTATTTTTCCAGCTCGACCAATCGCAAACAACGATCACAACCGAAGTACAAAATAATCAGCATGCAATTACTCGCGAGAGTTGTCTTGTCGAGAGGATCGCGCCGCGAAATCGCGAGATGTATGCCTGGCCTCTTACCTTAAAAGTTATGGTGATGAAAAATAGAAGACTGTCTAATGAAATCTAAGCAGCTCACAACTATGCATGCTCCAAACAACAGGTTCACTGACAGAGTTGACCACAAATATCCTGCTCTGATCATCAACGATGGCAACGCCAGAGTCATGTGTAGTTGGAAACACTCGTACTTCCCGAACTTCTCGTATGCCCTACAAAAAGACAAATTTTTTTCTAATCAAGCTCAAATTGATTAACCCACATTTCCGAAATGGAACTCAGAAACACGTTCGCCAAGCGCAGAATACAAAGATGCGTTACCACGACGATCAACGACAACTAAGCGATGGCCTAAAACCTTTACTAAGGTGGAAAGTGATTTATTGCCGTGAATAAATTACTTGCGCTAAATTTCAATAATATTCAAACCTTTCGTCCATTCCAGAGCACATACGTCAGGCACTTCAAGTTTCCGCTTCAGGTATTCGCCACCACTCATTCGAATATCAATGAACCATGATGTTGCCGAAGACGAAAAGGCAAGTGCTAGAATTTTTTGATTATTGCAGCGTATAATAAGAGCAAAGTCTATGAACTTACCTAGAGGGCCAGAATAGGTCGATGCGGCAAAATGAATAGCATTCTTTATCCTCAACGGTGACAAGTCCGAATAATTCTTAACAAATCTGAAAGAAGGAGTAAGTAAAAGCGTGATGAGAATGGAGATGGCAACATACTTTAGCTTTATATCTCCGACACCGATCCAGCTCGACAACGCATCATCCACGGTGTTCTTACGGCTTGCCATCATCGACACATGAGGATTTGCTATGCGAAAACTAACCATGAAGAACTTGGTTGTTTCGTTAGAGGACAAAGAAGTTGGGGCAAGAACCTTTACCATTAATACTGTAACATTCTATAAACTTTATCGTGCATCGAGTTACAGTGGAGTAGACCTGAGAGAAGAAAAGCAGCAGCTTTGATCAAATCACAGAGAAATCTTGCCATGTTATAATAATTTTAGGGTTGTACCAAAAATAGCAACACCGTGCATTGGAGATCGAGAAGCGGTTATAGCCTTAGTCAAGTCAAAGTTGCAATCAACGAGCTATAGACACATCTACCAATCTTCATCAAAGTCTTCGGCTGGAACATTTGACCGTATGATCTTCTTCGTTGGCTGTTCAACTTTAGGTTTGTCGACTTTGATGACACCGGACTGCGCTAAGCGACGTTCCAAGGTCTGCAAATTAGAGACATTGCTCATGAAGAATCATGTAAACTACACATGATACATACCTCGGTCTTAAAATCATCAACTCCTCCTAAATCATCAAAACCTCGGATGTAATCAATAGTTTGCTGCTCTTTGATTATAGCAATCGTGGGTATGACCCGAATATTGAGACGAGTAACCAGAAATGGGACCTGCAAAGTCTGTGATTACGCTACGATTTAGCGACGAAAATTTTGAGTGAACATGTGACCACGCCAAAACCATATTTCAAATAGGAAAGCTTACCTTTTCAGCGTTTACATGGATAAAGCGTGTTCCAATGTGTTTTGGAGCCAGTATTTGAAAGTGCTTGTCGACAATTTTGCATCTAAAAGCGACACAAGGTGTAGAACGTCTCAGAACAAAGAACCAAACCAGACGCGAATAAACCTCATGTTGCTATTAAGATAGAATAAGCACACAACATTCTTGCTCTTCTTTGTCGCTTCGAAAAACTCTTTTTCATCTGCCACTTCTTCATATTTCCCATGTCCATGTGCAAGCAACTCCTGTGAAAAAAGTTTAAATAGCAATTGTTATGTTCAAAAACAAAAACTCATAGTTCAAAAACAACATACTGCTTTCGCTTTCTGCATTTTCTTCAACTCTTCCATGCGCCGCTTGCGTATTATTTCGAGTTCATCTTCATCCATATGATCAAGCCTAAACTGAGCTGCTTATTCACAGTTGAGGTGAAACACTTTGAAAAGCTGTTTTTAGGCTAACCTATTCAATTCATTGTCGATATGCTCCTCCATAATTTGAGCAGCTTTCATAAGCTGTGCTCCAAGCTGCTCTCCAACGTTAGTCCCGGCCATTATCTACAAAGCTAAATAATCGGGACGGGCATCTAGGGATTCCATCGTCGAAAATTTGATAAAGCATAGCATAGAAGGCACCCCTAACTACAACACATTTTCTTTTTCCTCCACAAATATCCACTAGTTGCACTGGAACTCATGGTGACCAACTTCACCATAGACTATGATTTCCCCCAAACATTCATATATGGATCATGCATTGAATATATTTATATTGAACCATATACCACGCAATAAAATGATGTAAATACGAAAAATGAAATTTGATGGGTGTATGTCGTAAGGCGCGGATTTTCTTGCGGCGGCCGCGCAGGGCCGCGTTGCGGTCGCCGCGGCAGTTTGAAATCTGCCCGGTATACTCGTCCCACTCTGCCGTCCTCGGTGGCCCGCCCAAGACGCGTCAAGTCGGCCCTGATGGCGCGCAATGCGGGACTCTGCGTCACTAACTCCTCCAATCGATACATTGCTGGATTTTCCGTCGTCGATTAGAATTTTTCAACATGTTATGGACAAGGTGGGGATTTTATGATGGGCGTTATCTCTTTTTTTCGTTCTCCTTATCTGTAATGATCGTTTTTTGTGTTCCATTTGTTGTTGCAGAATTTGTGCAGATTTCGCCAGAAAGATGAAATTTTTTTTATTATGTTGATTAATCCTAATACTACATCCTCCTACTCATAGTTATTCTCAGATTAATCGTTTCAAGTATTATCGCTCTACAACTCATTTACTACTTTCACGATGGAAAACTTTTTCAATTGCAGAATCCTATAGTTGCAATCGCGTTGCTCTTTCTTCCTTTGACGCATTGCTCCATTAGCAATCCATTTCTCTCCGAGCCATTACATCACATGTATCGATTGCGTCGCATCTTTTTCGCCGTGCGTAGTAAGTTATTTGTAGATTTTCATAGTAGATATTCTACGAACATGCGAACTGCACACCACACCTATTTACTATCGGAAAGTAGTTTCGCAAGTGAACTTTTCGCAGCCTTCTAAGTAAACTGGGTCTTATGTCGTCTTTGATACTTTTTTCTTAATTCAAAATCGCTTAGCTCAATTCTCAACTCAAATCAATCCAGTTGTTCGCTTTAGGTGTGCAGCTAGCTTATGACGAGAGACTTGAGTACCGTTTTACCGCTTTATTTGGAATGGATGAACGCCGAGTGGAAAAAGCGGTAGGCCCGGTGCTCTACGCTCTTGCTGATCCTGCCATGGAGAATGCAAAGACTTGTTGTTGAGTAAGGATTAGCAGTTTTCTTTCTCTCTATAGTCATTTGTGCATGAGAATTGTTCCAGTCGAGAGCGACATGAGCAACCATTTAATGAGATTGTGGAAAACGCTAAGAACGTCGGCGGCTGTGGAAAACCAGCGAAGTATGGACAAAACTAAATACCGAATGGCGCAGGTCTGTTTTCTTAGAGCCTTTTTCTACATTACATTTATGATTCTTGTTCAGATGAAACAAGAGCTAGGCGAAATCGCCGCTTCATTAGACAAACCAAACTAAGTCAAATTGAAACAAGAAGCCGGTAGTGGAGGAAGGAGTTGGAAAAGATTATGATTATGGTAAATGTGATCTGATCCAACGTTCTAGTCCAGTAGTAGTGATGTTTTATCCATTGCAAGTTGTTTGAAAACGTTGTTGCTTGTTATGAATCTCATCAATACGTTCAAATGAAACTTCTTCATATGCATTAAATCTTAGAACAGACAAAATCAATAAGGTCATAAAAATGAGAACTGGGCAAAGCAACTTCAATATCCTAATATTTGTTAAACCTAAAACTCTAGTAGAATCTTAGGACAAAAACAAACAACAAATTAACACGTTTCGGACCGGTGCTGCACATGGTGCAGCACGCTGCTTTGAGGGATGTTTCTGGCGTTTGCAGGAGGTTTCCTTTTAATCTAAAGTTGTTAAGTCAAAGGTCTAAGCCCCTACTTTTCAAATGACTCTGTAGAGTTGTGCCGCCGATATTTGTTTAGAAAATATGATCACAAATCGAACAACAGTTGCAATGAAGTGCGGCGACGCGAACGACGCGTGCGATGTCGCAACTTTCCTTTGCTTCGATTTCAAAGAGAAATACCGTAGTTTCAATACTGATGTGTACCGTGTACAACATAGATACTTTTGAATACTATAAGAATCTGAGTTCTTGTTCCTATCTTTCAAGAAAGCACAAAAGTCCCTTTCAAACGACAAGATTCAAACACTTCGAATTCACTCAGAACTTTGGATATGGAGCTTATCTGACATGCTGATTACAAATGTGGCCCACAGGCTGCAAAATAAGGTCCCTTTGTAGGCTAACGGCTGAAAGTACACTCTTTTTCGCCGCGCGCGATTTCGCGGTCCGAAACGTGTTAAAGCACTTCTGTACACCTGTAACAATATTATTGTGGCAATGTTAAAGCGGAAAGGGGTAAGCCACGATATGAGAGCACCGACAATAACGAAGATACACCGCACTTTACGAGCTCTGTGTGTGATTATGTTCGACGATCTCCCAAAACCTGAGTTTGGAAATTTGATATTCATGAGCGAATGGATCATAGCTGTCGTACGGGTGCGTTTTATCATCTTGATGAGGATACTCCATTTTTGCAACTCATAATCGTCCAAGTCAATTTCCTCTGAAGGAACGCCCGTCTGTAAATCATACATTTCAGATATTCAACAGCAAAATAAAAAAAAATTTGAAAAACTTACCGCTTGGATTATATCTTCAAGTAATCTTCGATGTTTAGAATCTCGGGGTCCTTTTCGCGATCACATTTCTGCAGCGTTGCTGCTCGGGCCAAAGAATCCTGAAAAAAGCTTACATGAAGACCTGTGAGCTTAATACCAGCCATTAAAGCAAGAGCACTGTGATACAAACGACAAACACATGAAGCATAGGAATTTTATGAAAATAAATCGACAGTGAGAATTCTTGTTTGCAAAAACTGAACTAAAGTTTTAGTTCCAAAAAATACGACCCTTCTTTCCAATTCACAGCTACTTGAAAATTCGACAAAAAACTCGCAACTAGACTAGTTCCATATGCACATACTTCAATTTTCTCTGCTGACCTCGGCTGGCACTAACTCTCCCATTTCACGCGGTTTCCCAGGTGCTCCGCATACTCTCCCTCAATACGTCTAGCCGAGGTTTATATGCAGGGAGCGCTGTTTTTATTTGGCTAAGCGATCAAAGTTCTAGTAACAATGAAATGTTGAGAGGAAAGCATCAAAGGGTTGTGGGCAATGGCGAAAAAAGAAACAGAATATATAGAGACATTTTGAAAAGAATAAAAATTACAAATTCATACACCATACCTGTCTCTAAAAGATACGAGCATCGACATTGTAGCGACCATCTCAGTGTGCGCGTCTAGCTCTTCTGAGGAATCGTACTCGTGGTGAAGAACACCTAGCCTCTAAAAATGATGACAATCAAGTAAAGTCGCGTCACACATCGCAATCAGCTGATGAAGATAAACTCTCAAGAACATCATGAATGCTGTCGTAATACAATTGCGACGGAAAATCCAGCAGTATATCGATTGGAGGAGTTAGTGACGCAGAGTCCCGCATTGCGCGCCATCAGGGCCGACTTGAGTCTTGCGCGTGCCACCGAGGATGGCAGAGTGGGACGAGTATACCGGGCAGATTTCAAACTGCCGCGGCGACCGCAACGCGGCCCTGCGCGACCGCCGTACGAAAATGCGCGCCTTACGACCGTCTCCCCAAAAGTACCTAGCGCGCGCAACGCCGTCCATGCGATTGGAGCATGTCAGCACGAGCACGTATAAGTTGATGAAAGTTTCTCAAGATTTTATTTCCTTCTGTAGAAGCATACATGTTCTAAATGCTTTTGAGGGTTAACATAGGATGCATTCTTTTGGATTACTGCATTTGTTGCTTGGTCGCGGCCATAAGTTCGGACTCTTTCTCAAATTTACGCCGCAGAGGACTAGTTATCATGCTCGGCTATTTCATCAAAGCTAAGCTAATAAAAACCCGGAAGAAACAAAACCATTACGATGCGAGTAATTTGGTGCATTCTTACTTTCAACACGTTGCCCCAAAGCCAACGCGCAGCAGAGCAGCGCGTTCGCTGCCTTTTGTTCTATTTGGTCGCAACATGCGTGAAATTGTTTCGATTACCCAACCTCGTGCAATTTTTTGGAATTGCAAAAAAGGGGGTTAAGGTTTTACTTCGACTTCGCAGGTGCCATTTGCCTATAATGGATATTCAGAAATGTCGTAATTTTCCTTAATATCATGCTCATTCGAGACTCTTGAAAGCAATTTGCAGTAAATCATTATGAAGGCCTGACCTAGGTAAAAATGCGGATAGAAACGTGCTACTTTTGTTCGTCTCCAATCTATCCTGGACACGGCATCCAGTTTGTTAGGAACGATTGTACGGTGAGTATTTCAACCATTTGTTATCGCTAGAAGTTCAATGTTATCATTAACCACCGCTTAGATATTCAAATTCTGTCGATCAAGATGTAATAAGCTGTTCAAGAAAAAGAAGAACCCAAGAAAGCTAAGATTCACCAAAGCGTCGCGACGTGCGCGAGGAAAGGTAAGCAAAGGGTTGGACAGTTATCGTGTTTTTCTTCAAGTTTCCTTGTGAATATTAGGACATTCTGTTATATTTTCCCTTAGAACGGGTTAGGCAAGTAGTTTCTGTAGACCATTGTATCTCGGTTTCGGAAGAAGGAAAACTTTCGTTCGAATCTCCCGTACAATAATGATTTATACTTCTTGAAATCGTGTTCTTAAAGTTACGTTTGTAGTTCCCAGCTATAAAATTCCAGGAACTTATCAACGATGCTACCCAATTATTGGAGCAAAGGAGAGATGAGCCAGTGAAATACGAACGGGAGTTATTTAAGAACACCGTAGAAGCAGCAAAAACTGTTTCGGCTTTGAAACAAAAGAGGTTAGTTGCTTTTTTCAGCATTCAGGTTCGCATTTTTTGCAACTGTTTTGGGAATAGAGTAGGAGATTGTTTTGCACTAGCTTGTTCGAGTACAAACGCTAAAGGCATCGTCCACCCAAATTGCGGGTGATGAGAATTTGATGCTGTATAGCAGTGGGGCCCCTATCTAAACAATTGTCAAAGTCTTGCTGCAAAAGATGATTTTTTTAGCGAGAAAACTGCTCCAGACGGTAGCGGTCACCTTTTCCCGCCCATCAACCAGGGTGGTACCTTCTGGAGCTTTTTCCTCGCTTTGGAATTCGTTTTTTGCAGCGAGATTTGCGCTATTGTTTAGTCGGGGGCCACGCTACCTAGCGTCAGGATCTTATCACCCTCAAATTGGACGGTGCCTTCAAAGTACATTCTCGGCCTCAACCAAATGCCCATCAATGCCTGCGTAACTGTGTCTTTGAATTACATCGATGTATATATCTTTTTGCGGGATTATATGAAACTGGTTATCGTCTTTGCTTCTGAATCAATATATAGAGATGTGGTCTTTCTGGAATGGCAGCTTTATACCTGATTGTCTTGCAGGTACGCCAATCTTATACGGAAATCTTTGCAACCTGGCAAGATTGTGAAGAAGGCTGGCATGATCAAGAAGGCCGAGACCAAGCTCCATCTCATCCGTGCTCCACTTGCAACGAAAGAACCCGTCAAGCAGAAACAAAAGGAGAAAGAGCAGGCTATGGAACTCAACTAATTTTTGTTTTATTTCGTGTTGGTTGTGCCGCGTAGGCAAAAGTGCAGATTTCTATGGATTTTCGCTTGGGTCAAATTATGTTATGTGCATAGTTAGCGGCAACATTGTTCTGCTGTTTTCAAGACTGAGACGTAGCCATTCATTTGTTAATTGTTTGAATTGGCATGCTCTCGCATTTCCAATATTCTTGTGTTGATTTGTCTTCAATCATCGTGACTCAAGAAAAAATAAATCCTGGAACCATCGCTTTGTTTCCTTTCTGAATTATTTTATCAATAGGCTCTTTCGTAAAGATTGGGGTCAGCTTGTATTTGCGCTTGTATTGGATTACACTATCAGATTGCGTCCATATATACTTAGGGATTGATGTCTAGCCATCTTGATGAACACATAGTTACGGATAACTTGGAGTCGCTGAAAGAAGGTGAAATTTTCGTCGATGCAGAGACTGGAAAGAAGTATCGAGTAAAGAAGACTATCCTTCCTGGTTATTCTTCATCTGGACCACATGGACTTGGTAATCTTACTTCCTTCTTTCGTTTATGAACTCATCTTGGATTGTTCTCATTTTTACCTTTTCATATTGTATAGGGAGTTAAGCGTTGAAACAAACATTAAAAAAGGCCGTTAGGTGGCAGCATGCTTTTTGCTAAATCTCATTCATATTTTCCTCATTAGCAGACACCAACAATTCTTCTAGGAGTCTTGCTCGTTCGCTTTTCTGCTTTGATCAAATCACGTTCTTTCAGGCGATCCTGATGACAGAACCTTGAGGCGGATTGAAGCCGATGTCATTATTCCCAACAGAATGAATGCCCGAATCGAAAAAGTCGAGTGTCACGAGCAGTACATGAGTATAATTTTTCGCTATCTTGTGTTTCTGCTCACCCAAATTCTTTTGCAGATCTCGTCAACTGTATGCGCGAGAAAGGAGGTGTGAAAGGCCTGAAGCTGTGCAAACCTGAATTGGGTGTTTTTAATCACTGCAAATTCCTTATGTATGTCATATAATGAATTTTTCAAAGATCTCTATTTCCCAACTTTTCTTTTTTAATCTTGGCTAGCGATTCTGCTTCAAAATAATGAGAAATGAGGAAACTCAGGTTCAACGATGTGGACTTCCGAGAAAGGATGACTGAGGAATATCTGCGGGAACGATCAGAAGCACGTAGGACAGGCATGACAGGGCGGCAGCGAAAACTTGAAGCTTACAGGAAATGGAAGAAAGAGCAAGAAGAGCTTTGAATCTATCCAGTGATCTTCAAAATATCTGGTAGCTATATACCTCAACGTAATAAAAGCTCACCTAGTATGTTGTCAACTTCAGTCATTCATTGGATTTTATTGTTGTATGCTTTGGTAGAAATATCATAAGGAAGAATAACCCGCAAACCTTCGGAATAACACACTTTATTGAATCAACTTCAAAGTGTTCTTTTGACATAGGGTAATGGCTAGAGCAAATAAATCATTGCACGTGCTTAGGATTGGAATAACCTGATTTCTGATGGGGCAATTTGTACGGTCCCCAGATATTTTGAAGCGCATGCGTTCAGATCATCCAAGACTGAGTTGCATTAGACTATCCTTTCATTTTGCAGTACGAAAGTGCGTTATATATCACAATTGCTTCAAAAATGTTGCCAAGTTTCTTAGCAACTTTTGATCACCAATCAACGTCAATAGCTTCAAAAAACTTAAGATAACGGTTCACTTTCTTTTGCCTTTAATTTATCTTCTTAGGAACGCTCTGTCAGTGAGCTGCGGCTTCTTAAAATCTGGTTTTTTGTTAATAATCGAAGACAGGCAAGGGCAAGTGGCTGAAGACGATCAGTCAATGCTCATAATGTAAATAAAGCGCGAGATATACGGTAAAGGTACGCTAGGTGTTCCGTAGAAAAGGCGCAGAATAGAAATTAAATTCAGCTTTCCATAACGTGACGCAATGTCTCCGAAATTTTGCATCTTTGTTGGCGGTATGTAAGCAAGTAAGAAAGCAAACGATCTAAGAGTAATCGATTTCAATAACTCAATTCTAGTGCGCAATCTCGTAGCAATCGTCCATATGGCCTTTAAAACGCTGAGTTTGTGGTTCGTACCAAATTATATCAACAATCATGTGAGTTTTGAGAAAATCACCATGTGGTTATAATTCTGCTGAAACCTTGAATTGAAGGATATCGCATCAATAAAGGGTGCAACGTTTTAGTTCTACCTTGTCTTATCCTATCGTAGCAGCCAGCGAAAATGGAGATAATTTTTGCTTCTTTGAACAGCCCTCGAGGCATTCTCAAGCTCGAGTGCGCTTTGTGAAAATTCTAAAAGGTTCTCCGAAAAACTAGCTGTTTAAAAACAATACGCTCTTGAAATACCGTCGGACGAATTTGAACATCTAACGTGCTGTAAAGGGCTACAAGCTTGCATCTTTCAGATAATAGCTTCTGGGAAGCGAACATACTCAATCATTTCCTGCTTCTTCCGTCAATAAGTAGTGGTAGTAATAAGTAGTTCAAAATCCACCGCTGCATGATTGTGTCAGATTGGTGCAGAAATTTTGCGCAATTTCGAAAATTTTATTAACTTTGCAAATCTTAAACTTAAAGGCAGTAGCTCGGCAAAACCAGACATCTTGAAATTTTGATATGGAAGGTTAATTGTATCCCATACATCAGAACACAGCAGGTCTGAGCGCACTACATGCTGCCCCTGCCTGAAAACTGCCCCTAATCCCGTGCGCGCAAGCTATTCTCACACGCACTCGCGAGCGGACGAGCTTGCGGTCCCTCTCCCAACGTCGGAGTCGGCATGCCACAAATGCTATAGACATGAGGGTCCCGAAACGACTCTACGTCTCTAATCATGGCGGGGAGTGTCCACTCGTCCAAATCAAAAATGAGGAGCCTTGGGAAATGCTGGTTTTCGCCAATTTCGCGCTTTTAAAGGTGCATTTTAAGAATCAGCGCGTCGAATTACCCCAGCTCAAGCGAAAAAACCACAGTTCGAGGATTTGCCGAGCCACTACCTTTAAAGAAAGCGTCCGGGCAAAATCTCGCATGGGATTTATTCCGCTTACCTGGGCTTATTCCTCCCGCTGATCCTGAAAATGGGCTTTGAGGGCACGAAAACGCCGAAAACGGGCTTTTCCAGAAGGTTCTGACTTGAATTTTGTCGCTTGCCGCCAAGGTTAGGAGCACAGTCTTTGTGGGACCCTACTTCTTAACTGTGTGGGATATGCGCACTCTGGCTTATCGAACTAACTCGTCGCGGTCGCCGCGGCGTTCTGGTCGCCACTTCTGAAGTGGAATTCTCGTTTAAGAAGCGAGTTGGTGCATTGCCAGTTGAGCAAGAGTCAGGACGGGCGCCCCCGTACTCTGCATTTTCGTATCTGCCCGCACGCTGCCTTTAAGTTCACGATTTTGCACTCAAAAAATAGAAGAGAGTTTTCCCTTTAAAGATAGTTGAATGCTTTTGAGCTGCTTTGGCTAGCATAGCAGAAGCAAGCTTCCAGTAAGGCACGTCAACTTTCGTGATTTTAATGGCCTCGAAAAATACCAAAGTGCCACCAGCAAGTCCCAAAACTGATATTTTCGTACATAGCAAAAGTTCATACATTACTGTGGTAAACACACTTAGCACGAAGAAAAAAATATTCGCGTAAGATGTCACTTTGAAAAAAAAAACGCTTCCTTGATGCGCTTCCAGCAAAAACACAGTTTGAAGCCCGAAAAACGCCACAGTGCTCTGAGTAAGAGATAGATCACATTTTGCGAGCCGTGTTTCTATGGAGAAAATGTGGTGACTAGGGGATTTTAGAGTTCACGACTCCTTTGTTCTTGCATTTTCAGAGATTGAAGCCTACTACAGTAATACATGGGCTAAGAGTATGTAAAACTTTTTTGCAAACTTTTTAGAGCAAGCTATATACGCTCTAGTATCTTGTGAAATAAACTCAAAAACACCAAAATTTAAGTTCCGCATTTGAAAACTTTTTTCTCCAGAGCTAGTCAAAGAGAATTACATTTGAATAGCGCTATCGTAGAGCGGCCACCTTCTTTTCTACATACGAAATAATTAAGTTAGATTTGAGATTTGGAAAATCATTGGATTACATTTTTATCACGCAAGAACTTATGCATCAACTCAATGTTGTAAGCATTTGCAAGGGGGACCGCAATACGTCCCTCTTCGCTGCTACAAATTAAAGCCGTAATTCCCATTTTGCTATAGATTCTCTCGTTTCCAGAAATGGGATGGGGCATGAATTTAAAAAAGAAGAGGGATAAGCCGTACACATGAAAGTGCAATGTATGTCGTCTAGAAAAACTACATATTGTTGTACGTTGTCGTGGAAACCCTACATCAGCGATTCTGTTCGATGAGGGTTACAATGTACGTCTAGCATACTTTTGCTCAGCTCAGTAGTCAGAAATCGAATTGTTAGGAATTAAGAGACAGCTGATAAGTTTAGACCAATGTTGTTTTTCGTACCTTTCCAAATTCTTGATGCAATATCCTTTTCGTGATCATGATTATGGAAACTCTCATGATTATTCGCTTAGCATCTTCCTTTCAACTCATTCAGGGTGTCCCAAATAATGTACCTACTGTTTGATTGTAAATAACTTTCTTGTATTGAAGTGTTTCGAGAAGCTTTAGGTACCATTTTGTAGAGCGAGGTTGAACTTAGGTTTACAGTATGGAGCGAATCATCTATCGCTCTTCATTACATACTGTATGATTACGGTACGAACTTCGACAAGGACTTTAGGGTATTGGAGGCTATACTCTTCCTCGGAACAAACCAAACAATTCAACAACTCTTATACTATGGTGATGGGAGCCGCTGATATCGAATTTGAAATTCCCATTACTGTGATGCTTCTTTCCTAAGCTATCCCCGGTAAATCGTAATAACTCAGTTCCCAGCATTTGTCAGAAATGTAATTACACCGCCAAAAAAGCTGAAAACACTTGTAAAAAGTTGCTAGGCGGAATCAGAGCGAAAACCCCAGTACACGATCTTTCAGATTTTTTGAAAAAATTTTGTTAGGTGGTATATTTCACAATGATTCCATATGCTGGAAGTTCTTACCGCAATCTTACAGTAATGAAGAACGATCGATGCTTGCTGCTGATGATTTGCTCCATACTGTAAATCTAAGTCTAACCTCGCTTTACAAAATGGTACCTAAAGCTTCTCAAAACACTTCATTACAAAAGAGTTATTTACATCAAACAGTATGTACATTTTTTTGGGACACCCCGTATATTATCTCAGTTGTAAATCTAACAAACGGTGTTAGATTAAATTTTCTTGAAATTATAATCTCTCTAGTTTGGGTCTCATCTGGAAAGGCCACTTCGATCGTTTTTTTTTGCAGTACGAGCAGCTGCATATGATTACTTCGCCGATGATAATTCACAATCGGAGGAAGTCAGATACTTAAATTGCTTTCTTTCTCACTGTATTAGCAGCTGCATATGGAGTTAGCAAGTAAAGAACAATAGAGAGACAGAAGTTTCGAATAATCAAGACGCACCACTTGCAGGAAATTTGTGCTCACGTTTTTTAAAGTCTCTAATATTGTATAATGTGTTAGGTATGACGTATTTGTGGTCATTTCTAACAATGTGTAGAAATGTCACTAGCACATTATGTGTACAGTACATACCGTTAATAACTTGTGCCAAGAACTTAGCGAACTTCACCGAAGTTCAGTGAAATTCACGTGGCATTGTCATATTGTGGTTACTACAAATTCTGAAGGCCACCGTTCGACTCAGCTCTACGAGACGAGCATTTTCCGATATACGGAAGTGTCGTTGCTTGGATACGGTATGTCGGTAGGCGGTCAATTACAGGAACCTTCAGATTTGTGCTTATGGCAGGTTACTCAGTGTGATTATTTATTTCACACTGAGTAACTTACCATGAGCAAAAATTTGAGAAGATTTATGAACTGACCGCCTACCGTATACCTAAACCGGCCCTACATAACGGAAGATGCGCCTTACCGAGCTCAATCAACGATGCCACTGAGAATGTGTCCACAATGAACTAATGTGCGATGCGACGCTGATTTCACTGAGCTCTGGTGACTTGCAGTACTGTATATGGTGTCAGTAAAAAGAGTAAATCAAGGATAATTAAACGTTGAACACTGTTTGAGCAAAAAATATTTTTTAATGATGGAATGGGCAGCAAAGTGAGATATCCACATTCTATGAATTTTCCAAAAGCAATCAAAAAACACTCATCTGTACATCCACCACAGCATGAAAAGCTAATCTCAAAAAAGAGGTAATTGAAAAATTAAAGTGAGTTTCTGATTGGCTAGCCATTAAAGGATATAGTACATATATTCTGTCAGTGATAC